GCTGATATGACAGTTGCTGCAATACAATTTAACAGAATTGTTTCGAAAGAAGTTAAAGATAAGTAAGCACTAAGAGAGCCTTTTTACAGAAAAAAAAACAAATGAACCCTTTTTGGCCAACCCAATAAAACAATTGAGATGTGAAAGACGGTCTAAGAGATCTGGGGGAGTCCGCGGGTGGTTACTTAGTGATGCTTTCTGCCAGTCCCCCTTGGCTCTCAACCTCGCCTAGGAGCTGCCTGCCTTCCTTCCCATCCATGTTTTCACTGCTCATTAGCAGGTCCAGCAGAGGTTGTTAGAGGAAATGAATGCTGGAGCAGTTGCCTTCATTGCTTGAAGCAGTATTCATTTTCAGTACCAAGGAGTTCTGCCTCAAGTCAATAACTCCAGTTCCCAGAGCAGCTCTCCAGACTCTGGGAAAACAAGATGCAAATCAGGCTCTGATTAGCAAGCTCAGAACTGGGTCTTCCAAGAGAAGGCCTGCTTTTTAAAGGCAGTAACGAAGAAGAGATGGTCCTTCTTAGACGCAGAGTCAAAGGTAACATGGAACCTTATATAAAAGAGGCATCGTCCATCAATGATGCCTCTGTGGTAGGCTGATTAGCCTGTGCGTAAACACGGGCGGTCTGTGTTTCTCACCTGCTTGCGCTGTTCCTAACCTTGGTCTTTTATTTATAAATGCATGGAGAGTGTAGGGCAACCTGGTGGATGGAGTTTTGATGACTCAGGGCCTCTGTCATCACCACTGGTAGATAAACAACACTGAGCTCATGTTCTGACTGCAAGTTCACGGCGTTATCTCCGAGTTAAAGGACAGCCCTGCCGTATCTCTACAGTATAAACCAATTAGCAGATCGGTCTCACAGATGGGACCTCTGCATTATCCCTAGACTCTGTCTTTTTCGCCCTATTTTAACAGCTGCCACATTAACTCAGATCCTTCTACCCAGCTGTATGTGCAGGCTTGTACAGGGTCCCCTGCCCCCGGCCTTTTCCCTGGCATCCATCCAAGTCAAGGTGTTCAGATTCTCCTTCTCAAGCACAGCTTTCTATGTGCCACTTACCAGTAATGGATCTTTCAGAAAACCAAATACCTGCATCCTCTGAGCTGTCAGAATACTGTTGTTTTTACTGTGTTACTTACAGACTTTCATCTTGTATCCTTTTTAAGCCGCTTCTTAAAAATGAATAGGAATGTGGGTCTCTTTCCTCATGTGGTGGTGAGCTTTCTTCGGGGTGAGTCCAGCCTTCTTCATCTTGTATTCTCCAAAACCTAGCCCAGTGCATGGCGCACAGCAGGGACCCTACATATGATGCAGAATCAAAACATCTAATGTGACCTGAAGTTTTAAAAATATACCTACGCCTATATCCTGTGCCTTCTAGAGTAGGGGATGGTGCATTAGAGCCAACCAGCAACCAACCAAACCAAAATCCACCAACTACTTGTTTTTATAAGTAGGCTTTTATTTGAGCGCAGCCATGTTCATTCATTTATGTACCATGTATGGCTTTGTTTGTGCGACAGGGGAGTTGAAAAGTGGCAACTGAGACTGTCTGGCCTGCAAAAATGAAAATATTTACTATTTGGCACTTGACAGAGCCTAGAGTATAAATGCTCTGAAGGCAGGAATTGTGTGTTGCTTATTTTTATCACTAGTCTCCTTAGCAGGAAGCACAATAAATACATGCCAAATAAATTAACCAATGAATCAATATTTAGTGGGGAACTACAACCCTAAAACTTGATCTTTCTTTTTTCTTTTTTAAGATGAACCATGCTAGCTAAATTCCTGATGATGGATCAATTCCACTCATTCATTCATTCATTCATTCCACGATTTTTTAAATTGAACATCTACCATATGTCAGAAATTATTCTTGGTTTTGACATAAATGGTGAGTGAAAGCCAACTCTCATGAGCCTTAGCGTCTTCGAGGGAGCCAGACGTCATTCAAATGGCAGGTGTATTGTGTTCATTGCAGTGGGGGGAGAGAGGCAGATGGGGCGGCGAGAGCCTGCACTGTTGGGTAGAACTAAGATCTGCAGGAAGAATAGGGGGCAGCTGTCCGTCCGACAGTTGGAGGAAGAGTGTCCCAGGCTGAAGGAATCGCGTGCAGAAGGCCCTGTGGTGGACAGAGCTTGGGAATGTGAGGAACAGCAGGGCAGAGCGGTGAAAAGCTCAGAGAAAGGGCACGCGATGGGGCTGCAGGAGACAGGGGTCTGGTGGAGAGTTTTCTCTCTCCTAGCAACAATGGAAGACCCCTGAAGGATAAGCCAGGAAATGCAAGTCGAGGGGTGGTGAGAAGGGGTGGATTTTAATGCCATTTGCATTTTGAAAAGATCACTCTTTTCTGTGGAGGAAGATTTTTTTAGTGACAGCTGCTTTTACATAGTGATTGCATATTTCTTAATGAATTAAACTCAGGAAAATGACAGTTGTGTTCTTATAAGTATTGTGATAATTATACCTTGTACTCGTTCAGCTTTTTAAAAGAAAACCCAACCCTCTGTTTTCACATTTAAAGCTGTCTCTTTTCATAAGTATTGCACCCAGAGTCCCTACCACAAGTAGAACATTGGCGCACCCTCCCATAAACTGCACACAAGGGCTCATTAATGCCGGCCTTTAGACATTGGTTTTCCTTCCAGGGCTGATGTTCCAGGGTCTGTTCAGGGTGAATGCTCCTGCTCCAGGTTAGCTGCTTGCAGAAAGGTGGATTATAGTGCCTGTGGGTCTCACTCAGTGATGGCAACTGGCTGTTCCGTTTTTGTTTGTTTGTTTGTTTGTTTCAGGAAACCTTTGGGCTCCTCTAGTGAGTCACTCTTTCCTAATTGTTCTAGGTATGCATCTCTCCTCTCACCTTTCTCTTGTTTTGTTCCTCTCCTTTCCTCTTAGGCATTAAAATGTCCCTCTGCTTCCTTGCCATTCTTTCTCTTAAAAAATTTTCCATCCCTTCTCAGCTGCAGTAGATGCCTCTCTTGCTTTTTGGAGACAGAGCTGCGAGGCAGCTGATGGGCCCTAGGTGAGGGGAGGCAGAGGGAGACCCTGTCCCGGGGAAGCCGGGACAGAGCACAGGACACAGACCCCTGTCAGTCTCTGTGGTTTTCCCTTCAACTGAACCCGGGTGGCCGTGCACTTGGGGATGTCGTCTAGACCCCTGAGAAGTCGTGTTGGCACACTGACCGCCAACACCAGGAGATCTGGAATCCAGAAAACACTTGGCCAACCGTGCGCCTTTTTGGAGGCAGCTGGATAATTAAGAAGAATTTCATGCTTTTTAGCTTGGTGTCACTCTATATCACATCGTATATTTGTTATTCGATTAAGACATTTTAACGAAGCCACAGCCATTGTTCAGGAAGAGAGGGGCGGGGCCCACTGCTGAGTTCCTTGCTGGGGCCTCACCACTCCTACTGGGCGTCTGGCCTCGGGTTCGTTTAGCATTTTAATTGCAATTAAGTGTGAACTTGAAAATTGTGTCAATAAAATGCTATGCCAACATTTTTCCATTTGAAAGATTCCATTTGGGGTTCAACCATCACTTTGGAGGGGTTTTTTTTCCCCCCCGTTAGTTTTCTCATTATTCATAAATGTATACGGCTCTCAAGTTTGATGGCCAGAACTGTATTTTGATTCACCTGACTCCTTAGGTACCTTTTTCTCTCTTTACATTTTTTCCTTTGAAAGTTATTTACTCATTTATCATCCTTTGGTTCACTAGGTCCCTTTTCACTCTGAGTATGACTGCATTAACCTCTCAGTGCAGAATGAAACAGTTGGCTGTAGAGGGAGAAAGGAGAGAAAAACAGATTCAATTTGGGAACAGCCCTGATGATCAAAGAAGAGACGAGATCTGTGAACCATGAAAGATAAGAACTCAAAGAAGGCTGATGTATTCACGGCCTTGCCCTATGTTAACTGTCCAGGGAATCGTAGTTAGTAAAACTACAGGAGACACCCTCCCGTGCTGATCACAACCAAACAAAAAATAGAGTGAAGGGAAATATTATTCTCAAAATTGTATTACATGATTTTGATGGAGACTAAATCCAGAGGTTTTTTAGATTTTTCTCTCTGGCTCTATCTAAACAGAGCTGATTTTGAATTGATGACATTCCCAATATCTCTTACTTAGACTTAGTGGGGGAAAAAAACCCCACATTTGCAGTTTATTTTTATTTAAGGTACCACCCAATACAGGTTCATATTTGGTCACATAAAAATGTCACTGTACCTGTTGGGCTCTGGGACGCCCTGTGGAGAGAACAAATGTTTCCCTTTTATATTGCCGAGGTGGTGAGGCCGGTTAGCTGGGTACCATTAGCCACGCACGGAGTGCTGCACCCCTCCACAAGCCAGTGGGGTGGAACGTAGGACAAAGAGCTTTGCCCACCCTCAAGTTGGTTGGGATCAGCTGTTTGAATTATCCCACAGAGGAGCTGAAGTGACCGACAGACTCACGTGTTGAAAAAAAAAAATGGTAGCAAATCCTTGGAGGATGCCATATGCTCTGTGCTTTGCAGCAAGCTGCTGACGGTTACAAACCTGAGATTCTGCACCTCCCCAAAAGCCCACAGACAGGAATTTCTCCAGGCTTTTTCATTGCTAACAGGGGCACACTCCTCCGTTTCTGATATTTATCACAAAATGAACTAGTTCAAACGCAAATTCTCTCTGCCTGAAGAAGTCTGCTTGTGGCGCGAATTAATAAAATATTATTTTTAAAGTACCGTGTTGACGGTATGGTTAGAATTCATCTTGCCTCTCTGTCATCGTAGCCCTGGACATCCTAACATTCTCAAGTCTCGGCCATTTAAGCCTCACCTAGTTCATTGCAGCCTGGGTCTAAAATGAAGTTGTTCCAGATGCTCCTTTATAAATACTCATTTCAAAAGGCAAGGGTGACGGTGTTGTAACAGGACAGTTTTGCATACAGAGCAAGTATTTATGGGCCTGTGTGGCTAAAGGCACTTCTTCCTTTCTCCCCATGCCCAGGAAATTCCCGTGCCTGTAATTACTGGCGAGGGGCACAGCGGCTGGCCTATTGTACGAGCCATGATGAATGTGGACCGTGAGCCGGGGGAAGGAGCATCTCCTTTAACAGGCATGGTTTGCTGCATGTTTATTATGTATTATTAGAGCCTTCATGGTAACCTAGCCCAGAGTGAGGATTGCAGGGTGATTTTCTTTGTAATTTCTTATTTTCATTCATTCATAGCCCTGAGAAATGAGGTGAATTCTTTCACGAGGGCACTAAAGGACCCTTTAGTTGTGATCTGGCTGTTCACCTGGCTCCATCTGACCCCATGAAGGCAACGATAAAAGCGCTAATATATATTTCCAGGAGACTGAGAGATGAATTTATGAGTCAGTGATATTTTGCTATAGCTTTTGCATAATCTTCCTGCTCCATAGTTTTACTGCGGATAGTTCTCTCTATTAGCATGGAAGTGTATGTTCTATTACAGCATCCTATTTAAGGCCCAGTCAAGATCTGGCCTGCCTGCTAATGATTAAGCAAAACAAAAGGTTGGAGGAGGGGGGAAGACAGTCCCATATTTAGAAAATCTAGGTTAGTGAGGACTTTTCTAGCTGTTCTCAACAAAACTCTTTTCATTTGATCCCTGCTTTGCTTACTCTTTTTGTTTCCTTATGATTTTTGTCCATTGCTCTAAACTTAATGTTCCAGAAAATTTAATTCTGTTATAAAGCTGTGTAACTCGAGATAAAGAATTCAGCACAAACACTGAGGTGCTGGACAGGTTGATAGGAAGCAGTGACATAACCAGTATAACATTTAATAACACGGAGATAAGGGCAGGAGAAAAATAATGGGATGACAAGGGACATGATTAAAATACCAACAGAATAACAACGTTATTGCAATGAGTCCCAGCCAACCAAAATGCCGAGCTCTAGAATGAAGCTTTTTTCCTACATCTGGCCATGGTGTTGTGCTGGTAGTGTGACTCAGGCTTTGGGGGAGAGCAGTGGTCCCTGAATCAGCAGCAGCAGCACCTGAGAACTAGTTAAATCAGTCCATTATTGGGCCTTTCTCTAGACTTACTGAATCAGAAACTCTGGGGATAGAACTAGAAAGGTTTTTTTTAAATTTTTTAAAAATTATTTTATTGTTCAATTACAGTTGTCTGCCTTTACCCTCCACGATCCCCTCCCCCCAGCCAAACCTCCCTCCCTTCCTGATGCGTGGGTCACCGGCCAGCAGTGATCACAGAACGCTGTGGATGGCTGGATGATACGCGAGAAAAAACATGCACAGAGACAGACTAGTTTCTATGGAGAAGTAGGGACGGAATGGCCACACCCTCTAGTGGGGAGCGCGCCGATTTACCATCCAAACCTACTTTTATTGGGCTCGTTTTGCATAATAATTCAGGTAAAGTACAGTACTCATTACGAGAAAGTAAGGAACAATAGAAAACAAGTAAGTCTGAGGGTCTATTTTGAGTCAGGGTCAAAGAGCTGTAAGACTTTGAGGAACAAACTAACTTCCTCCTTGGACCCTTCTCATTCAACTGAGAGCATTCTAAACAAAGGTTTCACAGGATTTTACATATTCTTTCTTAGGCCTGATCACCCAGGGAATCCACCCTTTTCAGCACAGAGCTGCACCACCCTGTCATTGTTTCAGGCTTAGGTGGAGCAAGGGAACTAAGGCAACCAAGAGATAAGGAGATTTTCTCCCAGACGATGAGAACCCAGGCTATGTCAAAGCTGAGGAGTGGGGGTCCATCACCCCCTTTTGCTGTAGCCCCCAAAGTCCTTCTTTGGGGGACCTCCCACATGATCATGCCTGTCTTAGATCGTTCCCCCCTTGGGGAATCTTACCTGTTTTTGGCTAACCGACCAAGCTTTGGGGTTCAGTTATGAATGAAGCAGCAAAAGCAGCATTCCTGCCAGGGAGATAAGCTTTTGTCTCCTTGCTGGCTTATCGTTCCAAGGGCCTTCCCTTAGCCTTAGCCTAGGCGGGGGGTTACAGCTTCTGATACCAGTCAAGGCAGTTCCCAACACCTCCCTTGCTTCCATGCCCCCACCCTTGGTTTTGTCCAAGTGTCCTTCACAGTTGTTCCTGAACACCCTTCCCCCATTACCACTCCCACCTCCCCTCTGGCCACTGTCAGATTGTTCTTAATTTCGATGTCTCTGGTTATATTTTGCTTGCTTTTTTCTTTTGTTGATTAGGTTCCAGTTAAAGGTGAGGTCATATGGTATTTGTCCCTCACCGCCTGGCTTATTTCACTTAGCATAATGCTCTCCAGATCCATCCATGCTGTAGCAAAGGGTAGGAGCTCCTTCTTTCTTTCTGCTGTGTAGAATTCCATTATGTAAATGTACCATAGTTTTTTGACCCATTCATTTACTCATGGGCACTTAGGTTGCTCCCAGCACTTGGCTATTGTAAATTGTGCTGCTATGAACATTGAAGTGCATAGGTTCTTTTGGATTGGTGTTTCAGGGTTCTTAGGATATAATCCCAGCAGTGGAATTGCTGAGTCAATAATTTTTTATTAATTGATTTTAAAGAGATGGAGAGGAGAGAGAAGGAGAGAAACATCATTTCGTTGTTTCATTTATGTATGGTTTCATGGGTTGATTCTTGTACATGTCCTGACTGGGGATCTAATCCCAACCCTGGCATATTGGGGTGATGCTCCAACCAACTGAGCTATCCGCCAGGGTGGCAACCTGCGTTTTAACAAGAACTTTCAGGTGATTTCGATGCAGCGTAAAGCTTGAGCACCACTGACCTAGGGCCTGGGTGCTAACATTTCAATCTTCGGATGTTAAGAGCTACTTTGAATACAGTACCCTTGACTTGAATTCTTATTTATGATTTAAATGTTTCATTACCTCCAATTGGTCCAGGTGGGGAGCCTCAAACACCAGAGTTCTCTTGTTTATACTATCAGGCTAATGGGTGACTTCTAAATCAACGACCAGGTGCCTATTCTCTAATACGATTCTGATTTTGATGGCTGATTATCACTAGGAAAAGATGAAAATTTTTTATTTCAGTTTTTTAAAAATATCAACCTGTTGGTTACTTATATATCATTAAGTAGGCTACTGGTGCCTTGTCCTTATCTTACCAATTTCCTGTCTGTGAAAACCAGTGGAATGCCAGTAAACATTGTCTTTCTGGTAACTTTTTGTACAGTATGTATGTAGTTGAAAGAAAGTGAGGAGGGTCTCAAAGAATGCATAACAAAATTGATCATTTTGTACAAGGACCACAGAGTACGCAGTTTAGGGAAAACTACTTCTTCTTGCCGCTCTTTTGCATTCAAATTTGGTACTACAGCATACCTGTTAATAGTGCCCTCTTCTGTCCGGTAGCAGTACTACAACTACACAAATCCCTATGGGAATTAGTGTTTATAAGGAGAAAGTTGTGTATTTACTGAAGTTATATACAAAGGAAAACTGGTATCTCACTGCAAAAGCATTTGGCTCTCCTCAGATGAAAATACATCAGATTTTCCTTGAAAAGAAAAATTGTAGTGTTTCTCTTGCATTGCCAATTACTAAATGTTATCTTTAATGGCACTTGTCAACACCATAGGGAATTACTAGAATTCAAAACTGAAGTCGGCAAGATCTCCTAACTACCAAGAAGATCCTCAGCTTTAAACATGTAATGTCATTACTTAACACTGGGTTATTTCTGATGATCCAAAATAAAAATTTCCAATGATCAAAATCAAACCAAATCTAACTATTTTATATGCCATAAAGCACCTTAACATAAATTGTAGAATTGGTGTGACTAGGGTTCCAAGTATCCAGTAGGTGACCAAAGATGTTTGTTGAATGATTATCTAAAGGCAAGTGGTGCACAGTTAAGGTGGCACGTCTGCACCATCAAAGGCATTTCTCCTTACAGCTGGGAGGCAGTTGAGATGGTTGCTTGCCTCTGAAATGCAGGACCTGACCTGGAACTGAAGGACTGTCATTCAAATTCCCTTTGTCTGTGTGGGTAATAAGCTTTGCCAATGAGAAATTTAAGCACTTTAGGACAGGTGTTAACTATTCTAGGTTACTTGGCAAATATTTTATACACTAAGCCTTTGGATACTACTCTTATCAATTTTACATTTATTGAATACTATTTATGTGTCTGACTATATAGTATCATAGAAGAATGTTGGGCTTTGGAATTAGACAAACATTAGCACAAATACTTGGTTCTTCTACTATTTGTGGTCATAAGCAAGGAACTTCCTACTCTGAACCTCAGTTTCCACATCTGTAAAATGGGGATAAATTAGCCTACTGTAAAGAAAAACTTACAAAACAGGAGATCAGGCAGAAAGAAGATAAAATGATCTTAATATGCTAAACGTTCTCTAGAAAGTCCATCTAAAGATAATCAGACTATAGAGGGAAATGTTAATTTGTACAATTGATTAGGGTCCAGATATTTTCTAAATTGTAAAAAAATTGATGAAATGTGATAATATACATTTCTGTCCAACAGAGACGATAGCCCCCAAAGTTTAGTTGTATTGCCTTGTAGGACATTAACTAGTTTTGCCACAAGCTTAGCAATACCTTCTCAGCATTTCTTATTTTTTCTTTCCTTATTCTCTCTCCTCTCCACCCCACTGATTATAATTCTTGTTTGTCATCACCTTTTTGAACTGGGTTGGTTTCCCATCCATCTAGTTTCCTTAATAGTGAGTGAGCTAAGTAAAATTTGGCACATGCTCACTATATATTTGTATAAGAATTACATTTTTATGTTTCAAGCATTATGATTTGACATACTATACCCTGAAGGTTTTTTTTGTCAGAATTGGATGAAAACACCTGTGGGAACCCCTCTATTGGAGTGGTTGTTCCATAATACCCTTATTGTTTTTCTCTTTTCTGGGTCTAAAATGTTAACTCATGGTTCTGGCCCTTGAGGAAGAAAAGTTCTTGCTAGAAAAGCAAAATGATCACCTAAAAGGAAGCTGGAGAATGCTTATGAACTAGATGAACTAGACTTGATGAAGCTGATTCTCAGGGCCCAGGAGCCTGCATTTTAAATAAATATCTCCTGGGCCATGGATTACAACGGTTCAGGGGCAAGGT